AAGAATGCCTGGAAACAGGAGACTCAGTTCTGCACACAGTTTCCTAGCACAGTTGGGTTGTGCCAGCCCACCAAGCTGTTTGGCAGGCTTCGGTCTGTTTGACAGCTGTTTGGCAGGCTCTGTTTCTGATTCGGCTCAGAAATAGAGCACTTGGGTTTTGTGCAGAGGGGAGGTATATGCCTCCTCTCCCTGTGTGCTGTGGGGGCAGAAGTGTCCGTGTGCACACGTGTGCGTGCTTATGAAAGAAGTGTGTGCAAGCATGCATATAAGTGCATAATTGTGCATGTGTTTATATGTGTGGCCACTAACATATTACCCCAGGTGTCCCTTGGGAGCCGAAAGGCTTTCTACCCCAATCTAATCCTATCGAGCTTAACCCAATGATTCTGGACTCCACCAAACCTCCCCCAGTTTTTCTTCCAGCTCCTAGGGTGTGGTGGGACTAGTAGGGAAGTGTCAGAAACAAATTGCCCATAATTCTGGAGTTGCCTTTGAAAAATGGTTAAGAAGGGCACTGCCTCGCAGCCATAGTTTTCCTATTATTAGTGGCTTGCTATTCCTGTGAAGGGAACAATATTGATCCCAGTTGCAGTGTTATACTGTTACCCATAAGAATTGATGTCAGCCTTTCATATATACAGGAGGAAATAAAGAGCTGCACCCAGAGAACCTTTAGAATATATTTATTAGAGAATAATGATACCTCACTTTCCATCAAAGAGTGCACGGCTACTTACAAAAGAATGCCATACAATAAGAATAGGGCTATGCAAAAATAGCAAGCAAAAATGACAGGCAGGAAAGAAATTAATTCTGAACAACTACAGTAAGGAACATCCTAAAAACATAATAAAATGCCAGAATTAAAAAGCAGAAGAATTGTATATAATTCAGGTAGGCAAACAGTAACATCCAGTCCACAAAGGCCATGGAAGGGGGCGGGGGGCAAACCAAACCTCTCCTAGGTAGAGAGTTCCAAAACCTGGATATGTCAACAGAGAAAGGCTGTTTTCCCTTTCCCAGCCAAATATTGGTTTGAAACTAATGAGAAGTAGATCTCTTTATTCCATTATATAATGTTTTAATTTTGTTTAAGAGGTAGATGATCTTAATAAGTGAGCAGGTTCATATGAGAGAGACCCTAGTGTGACAGCCAGGCCGAATCCTACTCCTGTCTGGGGAGCCTCATTTAGGTTCCACTGCCTATGTTATAATGAAAACTGGGGTGGAGCATCAGGAAGTGATATGAATGGATGGCCAGAAATTTGTGGCTTAGAATATGTTTGATAATTTGAAATAATTTAGTCATGTTTTTAATCTAGTTATTTTTGTTTTACTTTGCCTACTTTGGCCTCACTTGAGATGGGTGGAATAAGGACATGACTAAGAGATTAGCGTTTTGGAGTGATGCTTGATCGCTTGCTTAAACAATTACCTTTCACCAAGAGAATGCTGGTTTGCACATTTTGAAGCAAGGGTTAGAGGGGATTAAAAAAAAGGTCGTTTACAGTGAGCTGCATGGCAATAGAATTAAAAGAGCACTAAAGGAAGTTAAAGGCATTGAAGAGAAGCTGAATAAAATAATTTCAATTAAATAGTTAAATAATGTATCTGTCTTCACAGTTGAAAGTAGAGGAGGAGCATGGCTGATCTAGAAAGTGGTCTTGGGGTAGTGGTGGACAGCTTGATGAACATATCAACCTAATATGCAGGTGCTGTGAAAAAGGAAATTACATGTTAGGCATATTTAGGAAAGGAATTAAAAATGCAAACAGTCGTCATACTACGTGTTTGTGTGTGTGTGTGTGTGTGTGTGTGTGTATCTTTAGTCTGACTACACTTGGAATATTGTGTTCAGTTCTTGTCACCATACCTGACAAAAGACATTAATGAATTGGAAAAAGTGTGGAGAAGAACAACTAAAAATGGTCAAGGAGTTTGACCAACTTCCCTGTGGAGAAGGGTTACAACAGCTTGAACTGTTTTCCTCAGGGGGCAAGAAAAGGCAAGCAAACGTGGTAGAGGTGTTTACAATAATGGAAAAAGTGAGAAAGACATTTTTCTCCCTCTTCCATACGTCTGGACCCTGAGGTCATCCACGAAACTGACTGGTATGAGATTTAGGACAGACAAAAGAAATTCATTGCACAGTGCAGTTAAAGTATGGAATTCATTGGCACTTTGAGTAGTGATGGTATGTCTGCATACACCAATTGCTGAGGAGCTTGAGCAGGCCCAATTCTTTTACCCATCCTGCTTGAGTGATCCTGTGAGCAATTGGTTTGTGACCATGTGAATGGAGTATTGCACTGAATGGACCACTGGTTTGATCTACATGGTTTTTATGATGTTATGTATTTTAAAACTTCTATAAAATCAAACACAATCCTCTTGAGAACTGGGAAACACAGGAGCTGCAACTACTAGTGTAAGAAGCTGACTGGAGGACCGTGGGTCAGTGACTCCCTCTATCAGCCTAAGCTATGTGCAGCATAACAGTGAGGACCTTTTGTATGTCAGTGTGCTAAAGCTTATTGACTGGATTCACATAAGCCATGATGGGTAGTAAACCAAGTTTGGTTCAGAGTAGTTTGATGTGATGCCTGAAGCTAGGCAGAGTGGCTTGTGCATAACTAACAAACCATCAAGTGAGGACTGGCTGTGCAGAATGAGGGGAAGCTGCTTGGTGCAGGCCCAGCTCTTGAAGCCATTTTCTCTAGAGGGGCAGCTTGGCCCCTCTTCCCCCACCTTCGTCTGTTGCTCCAGTTCAGTTTGCCATTTGAGGCGAGCACAAAATAAGAGCAAGCTGCCCAAATAACAAGCCGGTCATGGTGAAAAGGGCCAAAGCCAGCTGAAACTCCCTCCTCCTTTGTGCAGGCCCACAGACAGTTGGCTCCCGTTCCTTGTCATATGGTGGATGAGAGCACTATAATCAGCTGCCTTCTCTCAAGAAGGCCACCAGTCAGAGCATGGCTGCTGCAGTACCCCGATGGATGCTGCAGGATGAAGAGAAAGAGCAGCTAGGGAGAGACAGATGAGGCATTCCCTGCTTCCCCCCAGCATCCCTGGAAATGCAAGGGAATAGCACTGCTCAGGAGAGAGGGGATAGCAGGGGAGAGGTGCATTCTTCTGTGCTTCTAGCACCACTGTCCCCTCTCCCTGGCACCATTGTCAAGCACTGAATGGGGAAGGGAGAGCTGAGCTGCTCTGCTTGCCTTTCCTGCAAGGCAATGCAAGCCAAACAGTTCCCTCTCACCTACCATCACCACTCTTTCGACAGTGGCAGCCAGGAAAGTGCCATAATTACCCTGCTGTGCACTACCTCCCCAGTCCCCACGGCTGAATGGGTGGCATGTAGTAGAGCCACCTACTCCTGTCAGTGTTAAGAGAGCAGGACCACTTGCATCATCCATGGAGGGAAGGCAATGACAGCTGTGCAATATGCCACTTGGACACCTTGCTGGCTAGAGCACCTTGGCCAGAGCAGCCACCTCACCAAGGTGCTCTGTAGCTTTTCAGTTTGACTGTAGCATAGTATGTCATCCAGGTTCTGATGAAATGTTAAGCTACAGTGGGTTTACTAAACCCGTGACTTCTTGGAGTGGTTGACTAAGCCAGGGATGCTCAGACAATATGTTAAGTCACCCTGAGACTAGGTATTTCATTGGAACTTATAGTAATCCCTGTTTGGATAACATGTACTAGAATGTCTTACACAGTCCTTGCTAGCATATTTACTCCAAAAACCTCAAATGGATGTATAATGGACTGCGACCTTATATTCTACAACATGGAAAATCCAGATGGAAGGCCCATCTACTGACATGATGCACAATCTACCAGAGAGTTTTCCAGCACAAACTTCAGCTAATGCTGGTGGGAGCTCTAGTTTAAAACTTCTGGGGATACCTCACTTACAGTCAAGGCTGGAATTAAGTATCTGAAAGTGATCAGGGATCTCCCAGTTCTGCTTTGCCTCGGAAGTGCAAAGTAGGGGAGAAGGGCATTTGCAGGGGAGGAATGAGTAAGAGAGGGAGTGCCCAATTTCCTGCTTCTCCTATGCAGCAATTTTCCCTTTCCCTCCCTTCTGATTTTCCCTCCTTGGCTTGGAAACCTGTTGCTGCAGCCATGTCAGAAGAAAAATGCCCCGGAAGGTGAAGGACTATAGAGGAAAAGTAACAGACAGCACAAGACCATTATTCACTCCATGTTACCTTGGATAATCCAGTTAGCCAGTAGCTTAAAGCAGTCGTGCTAAGAGAATGTAATATTATACATGGGCTTGAAGTGGAGCAGGGAATCAACTTTTATTTTTAACTCAATTCCTACCTTATACAAGACAGTAATCAAGGAAGCCCATGTGAGAGTCTGACTGCCTCAGAAATGTGCTAGGCTATTGTCCAAATGATCAGAATTTTATAATTTAAAATAATTTCCATCAATTATAGTTTTGTACAAATTCATCCTAATTCTGCATTTTGTTATATTAGTTTCTTACTATATTAAAACAATTAAAAAGCATAACAAATGCTGAACAAAAGACAAACTTCTAAGTCCACACTCTTTTCATTGTTCTGTTAAAAACATTGTGCGGTCAATGGAAAGACCTAATCCAGTGTTATTCTTTCCTTTACCACACTACACTTCAGCATACAGGAAAGCAAACTGCTGTCCAGAAGAGCACAACTATGTAAATATGTCAGATACTAGACACATAGCATTTCTTCTCTGAAATGGCCATCAGTGTACTGCAAAGAGACACCAGATTGTCAAATTACATTAATGCAGTTGCTTGGAGACAGCTTCTTTGTATACCTGTTCTCCACCTAACACAGCCTTCCCCAATCTGGTGCCCTCCTTGTTTTCGACCTCAGCTCACATCAGCTCCAGGTAGCATGGCAAATAATCACATATGCAGCCAAAAACCTCTGGAGGTTACCTGGTCGGGAAAGGCTGTGATAGTATTACAAAGAGTTGTTAAATTAAGACATTACACAATGTTAACACCAAAGCATGACTTTATTTTCACAAGTTTAAAATGCAAACATTCTGGGACTGTTTTTTCCCAGAGGAGGAAGGAGAGTCAAAACATCACCCACAATGTTTAACAAAGACTGGGAAAGAAGCCTGTCTGAATAAAAAGACTGTTTACCAATGAAAGAAAAGAATGCTATGTCACCAATATCCTGTCTCGCTGAACAAGTAACATCTTGTCAAGCAAGAGAGATTCTTGCAGCAAAGCCATTTTCTGAGTAGTTGACATGGATGCAGATGTGCATCTGAATGTGCAGCATGGTCTAATTCTCATCCAAGTCCCACTGAACTGGCTGGGTGTGTTCTTAATGGAGAACAAGATGCAGATTAGTATGTACAGTCAGTGGAGTATCATTAGGATAGCCAGATGCAACCATGACAAGCTTCTGCACCTTTAATAGTTGTGGAGAGGAGGGAATTTTACTAGGTATCAATTGTTAAGGCAGTATTACCTGGCCAAATTATTCTAAACAGTAAAAAAGGTGTTAATGATTTCAGACTGAATTTGCCTTTTTCCATTTTCCTTTCTACACTACTAAACAAAACATTATCTCTTTAAGCCTCAATATTAGCTACATTATTTTTAAAAATTGAAATATAAGTATGTGTGAGTGAATCCAGGATTAGACAGTTACAAATCCTTGAAACAGGCTTAAACAGATTTCTGAATTGCTGGAATGTTGCTTTTATTCTCTTGCTGAAGCAGAGGTTCATCTTCTTTTTGTGCCTCCAAAACCTAAGTAGGATGGCAAAAGAAAAACACCATTAGTCAATAGGCAATAAAGATAAAGGTTTCCCCTTGACATTAAGTCCAGTCATGCCTGACTCTAGGGGGTGGTGCTCAACTCTGTTTCCTAGCCAAGGGAGCCAGCGTTTGTCCGCAGACAGTCTCCGTGGTCATGTGGCCGGCATGACTAAACACCAAAGTGCACAGAACGCTGTTTCTTGCCCACCGAAGTGGTACCTTTTTATCTACTTGCATTTGCATGCTTTCGAACTGCAAGGTTGGCAGGAGCTGGGACGGAGCAACGGGAACTCACCCCGTTGTGCAGATACAAACCGGCGACCTTTCGATCTACCGGTCCAGCAGCCCAGTGGTTTAAACCACTGCACCACCTGCAGTCCCTAATAGGCAATAGCTGGGCTAAAAGAGTAGATTTATTTATATCTATGAGCATGATTTAGTATTAGGAGGATGAACCATGGCTACCCTCAGGCTGACAGGTTTTCTCTCTCTCCAGTGTGCCTAAAAAAGAGGTTAAGAGCCTCCACTTCTGTTTTAGAATGACACACAATTTAGCTTGTCTCCAAAAGCCTAAAACAGTGGCTTAACAGAGGAAACAAGCCTGCTTCATAACTAACCAGATTTCATACTTATGCAATCAATTAGGACAAGCCATGATTAATAAACAACAGAACCAAAAGCTTTGAAACTGGCTGAGTCAGAAAAGGACAGGGGTGGTAGTCTGTAAGTCTAAGGCTCACTGGAGCTAGTCCTTGTAAAGCTAAGCTACATCTTTGTGCTGTGGGAAAACTGTCTCATTGACTTGATTCAGACATAACAGACAATTCTGGGTTTAAAAACCCAGGAATTGCATGACTACATGGAAATAAGCCTCCATCCTTTTCAAAGCAGCACAGGAATTTCCCCATTCCTAGAATGCTGTGATGTCCAAACTCTAGGCTTGTTTAGTAATTAAACAACCAAGAGTTAACCAAACAATAACCCATAATTTGTGTTGAGACAACTTTAGCTGAACTCCTAAACAACTCAGAGTTCTGAACCTGGACATCATGAGGATGACCTAGGCAGTTTATGAAAGCAGAAGTGACAACTGGGCAGGAAGCTTGTTCCCACAAAACCTCGTTGATTTCCAGATTAACAAACTAGGTCATGCAAACTACAGATCCTGTCCTTTAGGAGAAGTACAACCCTATCCAAGGCAGGAGAATGGCCATCTAATCCATCAGACAGAGCATTCATTAACCAAGAGTACTTCTGTCTTGCCTGAATTGAGTTTCAGCTTAGATGCTGTCTAGATGGCCACAGGAGAGATAGTGGTCCCAGTTCTGATGCTGGAAACTCACTCCAAGGTCAGAGCTGGGGCTTCGAGCTTGAAGTGCTCTCCCTCCACCTTCACAGTTGTCATGGTTCTTTCAGCTCCAGCTGCAGCTCCAAAGTCAGAAGACCAGCCCTGAATCCAGCATTTGGTGAATTTTGTACTCCAGGGAGAGAGGATGGGAGGAATGAGGCTTTGCTAGGATAGGATGTATCCTGGTGCCACCTAAGCCTGCCTTACATGGAAGCCAGGGCACAAGACAAGTTTGTTCATCAAAGTATTTTCTCCTGCCCACCCCTTGATAAGATGCCCATAACCCTCCAGAGTTGGAGGATTACAGACAGTCCCACACTGGATCATGCCATAACTAATGTAAGCTCTCTCCTGCATTTTGAAGTTATAGAATTTAGACACAGATTTATAACCTCAGTCTGAACTAGGCCGAAGTCATGATGAAAGCTGTGGAATGCATTACTTGTCTCTAATCTAAGTACTGCTGATTTAACAGAAATTATACATAATTAACTTCTCTGGACTGAATCTAAGATGTTGCTATTACACTGTCTTTGATTAGCCAGGAAAATCAAACTGAACAAGGCTTACAACTTACCAGAGGTAGACCTTGTCCCTGAATTATGAAATGTTGAAGAGTTATTTGAAGTACCAAATGCAGGTGGAGCAGTTGGATTAGCCCATGTGTTGTAGTGAGGAGCATATGAGTGATACGAAGGTGACCTGTAGGAAAAAATGGTTTAAATGGTACTTGCCAATATTTTCCTCTGTGTACTAACACAGCACTGTAAAAGCCAGAAAACTTAGAAAGGAAAGTAATTTACTGTGAAGCCCCTCACCACCAATAAACACACCGTCATAGGAAAAGCACATTTAGACTTCTCCATGGATATTCAGTGATCATAACAAACTGAAGATGAAATTTCCAGTAATTCCATTAAAATAATTTACTGTGCTTAAATGAAGAATAATATTGCTAAGGAAGACAGGGCGCAATCCTAAGCCTTCCAAGGTTGCAGTGGGGACTCCACCTTCAGAGAGGCACCCTCTGCCCTCTCATGCCAGCTCAGGCCCCAGAGATAGAAGACTGTCTTTTGGACAGGCACTGGGGGAGTGTTTTGAGGGGCAGGGAGGGGAGTGAAGCTTCCACTAGATCCAGGCAGTCCTTCAGCTGATCCTTCTAATGAGGAAGATGAAAATTTAGAGAGCTGAAATTAATCATCTAAATGCTTTTGAAGGTGAGCTTGATTTGATGCCTTTAACCTTCTGTGTCCAGAAAATAAAAACTACAATTTTAAAAATGCATGTTTTAGCTTAAGCTTGATAGATGCATGTTGCCTGCACAAAACATAGCATGCTTTGCAAAAAGAAAGCACTGTAGTGACATTTCCCCACAGAACTGTTTTAGGATTTTATCTGGTCTCTCACAGGTTAATAAGCAAAGCAGAGTAATTATAATAGGTTATGTAGATAAACAGCAGCATTGTGAGGAACTGTGCCACTCAGAAGTCCTTTAGATGTACAGAGAAATCCATACCAAACTGAAGCCATACAAATTGTGCTAATATTAGAATTTGCAAATAACCTTGAAAAAAGAAGGCTGTGTTCCACAAGCCTCAAAAAGCAGCAAAAACTGAAACCTGAGGAACAAGTCCAATATCAGTTTGATGTAAACTCACATATATAAATGAGTCTTAAGGGCTTTAAAAAACAGAGCAAGAATTAATTGGATGAATATTAACAGGTAAAATGTTCCATAAAGAAGAAACAGTATAAGAAACAGCATGGAGAACCAAAATGGAGAAGGAGGCTTGACAAGCAACAAGTGGAAGAATATTGTGACAGGCAATGTCTGTATCCTGTGCTGGTCAATTTATTTTGTATAGCAAGCCACGAAATTAAAAAATATTCTTTTCAGGGAAGAATGTGGACAAAGTCCCCCGATACCACAAATTATGCCACTGAGTTTCCTGCATTTGGAGAACTCATACGGGTCAGCACACCTCCAATGCAGTAAATGAATCTCATATGGGAAAATCACCTTCATGAACATTTCATCTCCCCTGCTAGCTAAGTGTATTTGCCACACAATAAATGCTGCCACTGGAGGTGGTGGAGCTTGGGATCAAGACCTGGGGCCACCCCAAATGACTCCTTGGAGAGAGAAACGGGTGATTAGGGCAGCACCAAACAGGCCTGGAATCAGTAGTTCCTTATTACAATATAATATTTTACAGCTGGGGGGCAGCTGGCTAGGTAAATATTTGGTTAAAGATACTAATTTTATTACTCTTCATTTCACAATAAAGCAGTGCTTATTGCCAGGTAAATATGCTTACCAGCAAAATAAAACTCTATTTTATTTTTGTTGTCATGATGGTATAATGCTTTGAGCCACTTTAAAATGTGAAACTGAATCTACTCAAGTATTTCTTTATGAGAACTGGCAAACAATGTTTTTTTAACTGCTCTAATGTACCAGAAACGGAGAAGTAGTTTGGCTATCAAGCATGGAACAACAGTGAAGAAAGAAGTACTGTTTTTAATTACAGTGCTGATTATGATTACTTGCTTGAAGCATTTTATGCTCTTCTTCAGCTAATATTCTCCCAGAGTAGCCGATATACAAATAATTAAACAAGACAGACCATGTCCATAGGCACACAGTCTAAAAAGATGCAATGTCCAAGGCGCCTTGATCTCTTTCTTATCCCTCTCCATTGAGCCTGCTGGAAAGACAGGGGAAGGAGGGGCCTTTGGCCCACCCAGCACCAAATTCCTAGCTGCACCCACATAACTCAGTCCCTTCATGAATATACAGGCACTATGATAATGCCTCCCAGTGACTGGAGCAATCTATAGAAAAGTACGGCAGATTGCGGAACGTGTAGCCCTCAGCCTAATTTCATGCTGCATGGCACAAAGAGAGAGAGGAAGCTTTTCCCTCTGGCTCTGCCAGTCACTGGCACTGACTTGTCTGTATAGCACAGGCTGCCGCACCAATAAACATTTCCTTTGTGTCAAGAGCACTTCATGGGAAAAAGGTTCCCCATATTGGCCCTAAGAAAAACAAAATCCAAAGGTGGGATAAATATCTCAGAATTTTTTGAAGTCAAACATTTCCCCTTGTTTGGAGATGAAACTGTAAGCAAAAATCACCATGGTTCCTTTGGATAGAGCTTAACATTTTGGTGTTAAAATTTATTGGCCCCACTGGGATTCTATTTACATCTTTTTTTCTCTATGTGTTAAGTAAATAGATTTCTCATTACGTAAAGGAAAGATGGTTACCAAGAGAAAACAAGATGGGTTACCTTCGGTTGCCAACCAAGTATCCCAATAGCCCTCCAGCACCTAATCCAGTCCAGAAACCTGGTCTTGAATTTGAGTCAGAACTGGAACCGTAAGCACCTTTTTAATTAAAAGAAAATGATATTTAGATTTTAAAATCTTAGAAATCCAAGTTTTTTCACAATTGTTTTAACTTATAAGCAAGGAAGCAGCATGTCTCTGCATACCACTCAAAACCCTGGTATGTTCTTCAAAGATTTTAGAGCCAGTGTGGTGGTTAGAGTGTTGGACTGGAAATCTGAAAGATCCCGATTCTAGTCCCCACTCAACCAGGGAACTTACTGGTGACTTTGGGTCAGTCATTCACTCTCAGCCAAAGCCATCTCACAGGATTATTGTTTTGAGGACAAAATGGAGTGAAGGAGGACTATGTGAGCTGCTTTGGATTCCTTGCAAGAGGGAAAAAGGTAGGATATAAATGCAATGTAATAACTATTTCAGGCCTTGAATCAAGCCCTACTGAAGAACCCCAAAGAATGATCCTGCAGCATACATATGGTTGGTGTGAGATGCATATCCACCAAAGCCCAGGTGAGTGTATTCTACTGAAAATGTAGTTTGAGGTGACACTGTTTAGTTTTTTACTGCAGTGATTAGTCTCTGATGGTCATTTACACATGCAAATCATCAGTTCATTCAAATTCGCCCAACATAAAAAGAATATTACTGCAATACTGATAAAGGTAGGATCTCCACTGCTAGAAACCTGATCATTTTAAAGTTGAACAGCTTAATTCCAAATATATTTACCTAAAAGATTCATTACACTCAGTGGAGCTTACTTCATAAACTGGTTAGGAATGCAGTACTAGAGGAACTGCACTGTTAACAGAAATGGTACAACCAGTAAGCATTCCAATTTGCCCTTCCACTAACTCTGAATGTGCCATTAAAAACATATTTATATATTTCAAGGAGCAACATGATTATGTTCAAATTCTGAGGCTATTGTTTACATTTCAGAGAGTGAGATTTGAAAGACATTGTACAGCAGAAATACAGATACACCTGTGGCACTGCCACAATCTTCCCCTGGGTCTGCATCTTTCCTTACGGAGTTATAAATATAGAAGCAATTGCTAAGGGTAAAGAAGGATTTATCAACTGAAAGCAAGCCTTGCAGCACCTGTGCAATCTTCCATCAATCTGCAGTGCAAAAAAAGAGAATGCAAGCTCAGCACAGGTGTGGCAGTCTACATCACAATGGCTACAATGGCAATATGTTACCTTCAGTATCAGAGGCAGTATGGTGCTGGGGTACACAAGCAGAAGTGTGCTATTCGTGTCCTGCTCTGGCCTTGCTAAGGATATCTGGTTAGTTCACTGTAGGAACAGAATGCTAGAGGAGGCAGGCATTTGATCTAATCTAGTAGGGTTGTTAAGTTCTTTCCATCTTGTAACCCTTCAGAATGGCACTGCTGCCTGGACTTCTGGTTTAGACTGTAACAATGAATTATGGACCTAAGTAGGGCTCAGACCTGACAAATGAAGAATTGTACACAGCTCTGGTGGATGATTATTACTATCCACCTTGGGTATGATATCCCAAACTTTTATGCTCCTATTGCTACATATAAGTAAGTACTTTACCTGTGAAGTTTGACTTAAAACCTGGTGGAGGTGGGCTTTGATAAGCTGGCCCATCTGATTTAAATCCTGGTGGAGGTGGTCTTTGATGATCTTGCCAACTGGTTCCTGAATGCCCAGCATCAGAAGAGAAACCATGTTGTGGCCGGTTATCACAGAGGAACATCTTATAGACACCGAAAACAAGGACTGCAAATACTATTAGAAGCACCAGTCCAGCACCTGAACCTAATGCATCATGAGAAGTTGTGGAGTAATGGTTCCCACCAAAGAAGTTAGTTTTATCATGCTGTCCATTCTTAGTTAACTCTAATGTGTACTCCAACCCACACGATCCTTTTAATATGTAAGGGTCATCTGGGTAATCGTAGCCTTCACAGCTTACTTCGATTTTTCCAAAGCGATATGAAACATCCATCTGTGCTTTACACTCCCACTGAAAAAGAGAAATAGTGTTTGTCATATTTACAATAAAATTAGCCACAATAAAAATAACTAGTATAAAAACATGCAGTAACAGTATGTTTATATTTTCAAATTTTGGTCTCATTCTCAAAATGTTCACAAAAAGAAAATTTGAAAAATTGATATTCAGTTCCACCACTTTTAAGATTTGAAACTCTGTAACATATTTGTAAGATCTTGACCACTGTAACATTCAAACTCTGATGTAGGGTACAATCCTACATGACTGGCTGAAATTGCTGGGAGTTGTTGCACTTTTTTTGTTTAAACATGCATAGGATTGCACTTTTAACTGTGTATACTGCTTTTTTAGTAGATTAGTAGCTCATAGGTTTTAAAATTTAACAACCAAGGCTTAGTTGTGTCCTTGAAAGTTTTTAAAAACAAAACTGGACTACTGGGTTTCAAATTACTTGGCAGACAAAGCTCAAAAACATTATTCAAAGTTAGTTAGCAAGCATCATGTATGGTCTATATCTGGATCAAAAAACCTCAGGTTTTTAAAAAGATTTTAATATATTCTACTACTTTTTTCTTGCGGTTGAGGTAGAAGTGAACAATAATCCTCTTCAAGGAATTTGCACATGGTACCTTTATTCCAAAAAAGCGGTATGAACAGAGTCCCATAAACAAGCCTATTTCCCCATCTCAGACTAGACTTGGTCTTTTTTAATTTATCAAGAGAATACTCTGAGAAGGTATACAGAGTTTCCTTATCCTAAGGCCAAGGTTACAACCTCCATGTGATTATTAAAATGAACATACCTGTACATCATAGCCATCCCAGCCTTTGTTGTAACACTGGACAACCTCAGGTGCGTATGCACTGCATCCAGCTGAACCTCCAGTGCACTGCAGCTGAGGAACTGGAGACGTCCTCCGATAATTCGTGTGCTTGCCTGCGTAGAGCGTGAGAGCCTGGATTTCTCTCAACAAGATTCTCTCTGAAAAAATGCATGTGGCTTTGAATTACATAACTGTTAGAGGAATATTGCACAAAATTGGTAATGCATTATACAATTAAAATTATACAATTAAAATTATACAATTATAAAAGTATACAATCAAAAGCCAACAGGTAAGTTCTTAGAATAATTTCCATTTGATGATGTGATATACTGATTCATGATGGCAATCCCAAATGCCAATTTAATAAGTATACTAATTTAACACACACAATCTGCAGGGCTCCATAGTGTTTGAAAGGTTAGGACAGGGAAAAAATAGGTTTTTCATGCTCTACCATTTATAGAAATGCTGTTGCACAATAAGAAAATAAGTACTGGTTCGCTGGATCAGACACTTCCTGGCAAATAGATGGGGAAGAAATGGTGGTAGTGACAGATTTTATTTTCATGGTCTCCAAGATCACTGCAGACAGGGACTGCAGCCAAGAAATTAAAAGATGCTTGCTCCTTGGGAGGAAAGCTATGGCAAATCTAGACAGCATACTAAAAAGCAGAGACATCACCCTGCCAACAAAAGTATGTATAGTCAAGGCTATGGTTTTCCCAGTTGCAATGTATGGCTGTGAAAGTTGGACCATGAGGAAGGCTGAGTGCCAAAGAATTGAGGCTTTTGAATTGTGGTGTTGGAGAAGACTCCTGTGATTCCCTTGGACTACAAGGCGATCAAACCAGTCAGTCCTAGAGGAGATCAACCCTGACTGCTCTTTAGAAGGCCAGATACTGAAAATGAAACTCAAATACTTTGGCCACCTAATGAGAAGGAAGGACTCACTGGAGAAGAGCCTGATGCTGGGAACAATAGATGGAAAAGAAGAAGGGGACAGCAGAGGATGAGGTGGCTAGATGGAGTCACT